TAAAATCCCCCACCACCACCCACGGGAGGTTCGATTTTGCCGCCAACATTCTCAACAAATCCCATGATTCAGCACGCCTATTACGGTCCGAATAACCATAGTAACACGTCATTCTCCAAGCCGGATGACCTGTCATAGTTACCTCAATATCAACGTAGTTTCTTGAGTAACTAAGGAGTCTCGCCGTATTATTCTTCTTCCACAATAACGCTAATCCACCACTCAAACCATCATTGTTAACATAAAATAAGCCTTCGAAACCAATCGTAACACGAAGACGCTCAGCATGATCTCGCGCTACCTTAGTTTCTATTAGAAATACAAAGTCGGGTTGCTTTTTGGACACCATGTCCACCACCTCTCGAACTGTCCGTGGATTACCCAAGCCACGGCAGTTCCAACTCAGCGTACTCATTGGGTTGGGCGGGTCTGTGATCCAGAACCCGCCGTAAACAAGTTTTTTGAGCCATCCACCATCGCTGCCATACGCACTTGCCCGTTGCGACTAGCGTCGCCAAACAGTGATGATCACCGGAAAAAACGTAGGAAACCGTCGGAAACCTAGCAAACCCTAGGGGAGGAGAAAACTCTAGCAAACCCTAGAGAGAAAATAATGAAGAAGAAGATTCTACTAAAGATAAGGTTTAAGTGGCTTAAAAAGTTCAATTCAACAAACTATGAACTCATACCACGTAGCAATATCGAACCCTAAGGTAATCTAACATTCCGTGAACTAAACGCCCCCTAAGAAATTGGAGGGTATCTCACATTCCCTTCCAATGGCTAAAAACTTAATGCGGAGGTTATCTAACATTCCCTGAAAAAGTTACATAACCTGAACCAAACATGGGAATCTTATATTACCAAACAAATATAACCTTGGTTATCTTATATAACCTGAACCAAACGCACCCTTAGTACATTTTTCTAATGAATTCACAGTCAAATGAATGCAATTGGTTCCCTAGAAGATTGAAGGTTGCATAGTGGATGAAAAAGGTAGAAAGTGGGATCCATTTACCTTCCAGTAAAGATTGTATACTGCTGACATAGCTAGCGGGCTAACCTGGAAGATAAGCCGATGGCGATATGCCAAGATAAAAACCCAACCAACAAATCAATCTTCAAAACCCCTTTTTCTCATCCCCCTTCTCCTCTCTAGCAATGGAGAAAATGGCAATTACGCTAAATCCGGTTGTTGCTTTCCCTATGGGAGAATAGCATAGGTGAAGGTACTGAGAAGGCAGTCAACAAAGCTAAGCAGAACCATATAGCATAGAATCTGTTATAACTGCTTCTTGCATGTATATATACCGGGCTTCTCCCACTGTAACAGAATAAGAATTCTGTTATTTTTCTTTCCTAAATGCACTCTATTATTCGTTTCTTCTATCTCCCTCTCTTAGCTTACATGTAACCACTCCAATATGGTATCAGAGCCGCAGTGGACTTCCTACGCCGCCGCCATCTCTGGTGACGGAGAAATGAATCAAGGAACGCATGTCGCTTCACCAGCAAGTCAATCGCACGTTCACACAGCTCCTACGGTGGATCTGTAGAGGAATCTACCTTCACAAACGCAGAGAAACATCAGCGCAGAAGGATTGGAGAATCCGTTGTTTATCAGCACCAATGATAGTCCATGTGCTGTCCTAGTCAATCCGCCATTAACAGGGAGCTCCAACTATAGCTTGTGGTTCATCTCCATGGGCATAGCCCTAGAGGTGAAGAACAAGTGGAGTCTCGTCGACGGAGTACTCCGGCACCGAGCAGAGAGCACGTCCAGTATGGAGCTTGGAGAAGATGCAATTTAATGATCTGCTCTTGGATCTTTAAATCAGTTCATCCATCCATTGCGTAGAGTTTGATGCATCTTGATAAGGCAAGAGATGTTTGGGATGACCTAAAGAGGAGATTCTCACAACACGATGCTCAATGAATCTCAAGTCTACAGAATGAAATCTATAATCTGAGGCAGGGAAGTATGTATGTGAACGAGTACTACACAAAATGTAGAACTATGTGGGAGGAGATGAACATGTTGAGACCTCTCCCAATCTGCAATTGTGATCCTCGTTGTTCATGCGGTTTGATCGACGAAATCATAAGAGAACGCGACACAAATCAGGTGATTCGATTCCTACAAGGCTTAAATGAAGATTATAGTAGTCTAAAGTCTAATGTGCTAGTTCTTAATCATTTGCCAGAGGTTTACAAAGTGTTTGTAATGACTGAGAAATTGGAAAGACAAATCAACCTAACAAATTTGAACCTAGGCAGTTTTGAAACTAATCAAGCTAATGCAGTTCATAATCAACAAGCTTCTGTAGAGGATGAATCTATTGATGTTGTACATGCCTATAATAATGATAGGCGAAATAATTCTGTTAAAGGGGCAAGGTGCACGTTCTATGGTATGTCTGGACACAGTATAGATAAGTGTTATAAGAAGCACGGTTACCCTCCGGGATGGGTACCAGGCTACAAATCTAAGGGAAAACAACAGTAGGTTGCTCCAGCTATGACAAATGGAGTAGGTGATTTGGGAATTACATATGAGCAATTGCAAAAGATCATTTCAATTCTTCAACCGCAGACCAGCCAGTCAGCCACTGCTAATAATACTACTGATGCAGTTTCTTTGCTTCCCAAATTCACTGAAACACAACCCTTAGATGAAGGCAAGTCTACCATACCTCTTATCAATTCTATATCATTATGTTCATCTTCTTGGATTATTGATTCAGGGGCAACAAACCATATCATTTGCTCCCTTGATTTCTTTATGGATTATCATGAGGTTGAAGGTGCTGAGGTGAATTTGCCCAATGGACAGTGCATTTGCGTGAAGCATATAGGTAATGTTAAACTTACTGATGATCTTTGCCTGAAAGAGGCCCTACACATCCCCTCTTTCAAATTAAACATAATCTCTGTTAGCAAACTCCTTCAAGACACTTCTTATAAACTGATTTTCACACCTGGGCAGTGTTTGATTCAGGGTGCTTTTGGACAGACAGCTGGTAAGGGTTATATCTTCTGATGGTGCAGCCAAGTTTAGTCAATAAATGCTTTGTTATGCAATGTATTAGCAATGATATTTGGCATCAAAGATTGGGATATTTCATATGAATAAATTGCATCTTTTCAATGATATTAATGTCGCTAGCACTAAGAGTGTGGCGTGTGATTTGTGCCATCTTGCAAAACAAAAATGATATCCCTTTCCCCTAAGTGTTACGGTTTCGAAAGATATATTTGATCATATTCATGCAGACATATGGGGGCCTTTTTCTAGTTTGCTCAGTAAAGGGAGCACGTTATTTCTTAACAATAGTTGATGATTATTCAAGGTTTACTTGGTTGCATTTGATGAACAACAATTCTAAAGCAAGGCAACTTATAAAAAGATTTCATTCTTTTGTTTCCACACAGTTTGGTGTTATGATAAAAGCCATAGGACTGACAATGGACTTGAGTTCAACATGGATGATTTTATCTCTGAAAAAGGCATTGTTAGACAAAGATCATGTGTTAACACGCCACAACAAAATGCCATAGTCGAGAGGAAACACCAACATATCCTTAACGTTGCAAGAGCACTTCAGTTTCAGGCTCACCTTCCTCTCGAACTTTGTGGGTAGTGCGTTTTACATGTTGTTTTCATTATAAATAGACTCCCCTCACCAGTTATCAATTGGTTGAGTCCATACCAGAAGTTGTATACAAGAGCTCCTGATATTAGTAGCTTAAGAGTATTTGGATTTCTCTGCTATGCAACCACTCTACCACACAACAGACACAAGATGGATCCTCGCGGAAGGAAGTGCGTGTTTATTGGCATGCCTGCTGGTGTTAAAGGATATATGTTGTATGATGTAAGTGACAAAACTATCTTTGTGTCACGTGATGTTAGTTTCTATGAGACACAATTTCCCCTTGCAGGTATACACTCAGCTACGACAGAATTAACGGCCTCTGAGCCTCGCCTCCCTATCATCCTGATTTCCACCTGCATGCCTTATAAGGAACATGACAACCAACATTATTACACTAATGATCAACCGCATCATGCCACCAAATCACCAAGAGGGCACAACTAGGAGATTTCCATTGATGAATTTGATCCAGGCAATATCAATAATGATAACACGCAGGGGACTTCTATATCTCCTACTGCTTCTATATCTCCTGGTGATCCTATATCTCCCACTGCCTCTGAATCTCCCATCCCACTTTGACGTTCGGATAGGGATCGACGTGCTCCGAGAAAGCTACATGACTACTACTGTGACGCCATTACGAGTAAGGGGTCCCCTCTCCATCCCTTATCTAGTGTCATATCTTATGATCATCTTTCTGTGCCACACAAAGTTTTCTCTATGCCTGTTACCAGTGTTGAAGAGCCACGCACGTATAATCAAGCCATCCGGTATGACTGTTGGAAGGATGCAATGAAGACTGAGATTAAAGCTCTACAGGATAATCACACATGGGCGCTAACTAATCTACTTCCCGGAAAGACACACGTAGGATGCAAATGGGTGTATAAGATTAAGCTCAAAGCCGATGGCTCAGTTGAGAGATATAAGGCGCGACTCGTAGCCAAAGGCTACACTCAATAGCTTGGGATCGACTATATTGAGACATTCTCACCGGTGGCGAGGCTTACTACCATCTGTACTTTCTTGGTTGTCGCTGCTTTTGGGGCTTGGCACATTCATCAACTAGATATCAACAACGCCTTCTTACACGGGGATTTGGACGAGGAGGTGTACATGTTGTTGCCGCCTGGTTTTCAAGGAGAAAGTCCAAATCAAGTCTGCAAGCTCATGAGATCCCTCTATGGTTTCAAACGGGCGAGTAGGCAGTGGAACGCCAAATTAAGCAATACCCTGTTGCGTATATGATTTGGGCAGTCCAAAGGAGGTGTACTTGGACACCACTTTTAAAATCAAAGACTTGGAAATCTAGGCTTCTTCCTAGGAGTTGAAGCACACATGGACAAATCCGGGTTGAACCTCTGTCAGCGCAAATATGCTCTAGATATCCTAGAGGAGTCGCGCTTTCTCAGCTGCAAACCAGTAAGCACACCAATGGCTTTTGGTCTTCGATTAAACAAGAGTGATGGGAACATTCTCAGTAATGTTGGGAGTTATAGAAGATTGGTAGGAAGGTTGTTATACCTCACAGCTACTCGTCAAGAAATCGCCTATGTTGTACAGCAGCTGAGCCAGTTTATAGATGCTCCCACTAGCGAACACATGGCTGCTGCGCATCGTATCTTACGTTACATAAAGAGTGCACCTGGCCAAGGCATATTTTATCCATCAAATGGTGACATGCAACTTAAAGTCTTTTATGATTCCGACTGGGCTTCATGTTCTGAAACAAGGAAATCCACTACACGATTCTGCATATTCCTTGGGTCTGCTCTTGTATCCTGGAGATCGAAGAAACAAGCTACAGTCTCTTGTTCCTCCTCCGAGGCTGAGTATCGAGCTCTCGCCGCCACAGTATGCGAGGTGCAATGGCTCACATTTACGCTCCGTGACTTGCAGGTTAACTTGACGAAACGGGCAGCTGTGTTTTGTGACAATAAGTCAGCGATTGCCATTGCAGAAAACTATGTTTTTCACGAGCGAATGAAGCATATAGAAATATATTGCACCATTATCCGGGAAAAGGTGACGCAAGGCTTGATCAAGCTTCTCTTTGTTTCTTCTTCAAGCAAAATAACAGATGGTTTCACAAAAGCCCTACCTATTCCTCAGTTCCGCTTGTTCATTTCTAAGCTGGGCAGTCAAGATTTACATACCCCAGCTTACGGGGGTATTGGAGAATAGCATAGGTGAAGGTACTGAGAAGGCAGTCAACAAAGCTACGTAGAACCATATAGCATAGAATCTGTTATAACTGCTTCTTGTATGTATATATAGCAGGCTTCTCCCACTGTAACAGAATAAGAGTTCTGATATTTTTGTTTCCTAAATGTACTCTGTTATTCGTTCCTTCTATCTCCCGCTCTCAGCTTACATGTAACCACTCCGATATTCCCGGCAAATACAAAGCCGTCTGTGTCAGTTTTCCGTTCGTTGTCGTGCGGCTTCAAATCTTCAACCCCAAATCAGCCCATTAGAAACCCCAAAAGCTTGGTCGTGAGGGCTTCGATTGCAGTAGAACAGCAGGACCAGAAAACGAAGGTTGCAATTATCAGAATCGGAACTAGGGGAAGGTACTGTTTATTTATTTATTTATTTTTTGCCCATTTTCGGTGTCTGGATATGCTTGATTTTTGTAGTTAAAATGCAGCTTAAGTAGAATTGATCCTTTGGGGTGTGAAATTGATGATTCTTGAGCTTGAACTGTTATATATGTGTCAAAGATTCGACCTTTATTATCCTTTATAGTTCAGACCTTCCGAGAACAGTGATAGTTTTTCTCCCAGTTTTGTGTAAAGACCGTGTTTTTGCAACCACAATGTCAATGATTGGGTTATGTTTAGATCTAGTGTTTTGAAGTGGGTAAACTCCGCGTGACTCTAGCCGGGAAAGGACATAAAATAGGTTGCTTCCCCGAGAAGTTGGACTTGGAATCTTACGGTTATCGACCCGCAATCTGACCAACTTGGCTGGGTTGCCGGGTGATGCTCTTTTGATATGTGGAATCAAATATTTAATGAGGAGTCTTGTTACATTTGATTGTTTTCAACTCAGGTGCATAAAATTGTAGGCAATAGATTTTGTTTTTTTTTTAGACCCAGAGAATAATTCCTTTACATTTTAAGGGGATATTCAGTACTTTTTAGTTTCTTTTGCCGAGAGGAATCAGAATTGTTATGATTTGATTGTTTAGGCATTTACTATTGGTTCTGTTTGTTGGACTTGGACATCAAGTGCCTTTGATCTTTCTGTTGTTCTACATTTATTTGAAATGATAATTATAAAATTAAATTACTAATAAATATAATATTTAAAATTAAAATTATATACTATATGGCTAAAATAGATTATATAAATAAAAAATAATTTTATTAAAAATAAAAAAAATAAAATAAAACTTGTGGCCGTTGCGGCCAAAAGATTAAAAAAAAAAAAAAAAAAAAAAAAAAAAAAACCACTACTGGAAATTTTGAAATTTCCGACCACCTGAAAGTGATCTTAAATCAAGTCGAAAGCCTTATTCCGACCACTTTTGGTATCCGGAAAAACCCTTATTGCTATTTCCGACCACTTTTTGCTTTCAACTTGATTTAAGATCACTTTCAGGTGGTCGGAAATTCAATAATTTCCAGTAGTGAACCTAGCAAAGCTATATGAAGATGCCCTATATTTTTGCTGTGCAAGCTGACGTCTAAACAATGCCTGACAAAAGGCTTAAACTTGCAGGATGAAGAAATTGTTAAAAGCTTGCATTCCCATTTGTCAAAAGCTAACCCAAGAAGATTTTATTGTTCTAAAAGTTGGTGATGAACCCCCTATTGGGATTGCTCTAATATATGACAACTACGTTTTTTTTTATCAATGGCGTTTCTCGTCAATCATGTATATAGAGCTATCAACAGAAATAAAAATAGTAGATTTTTACCGTGTCTCCTTTCTCGAGATTCTATCTTGTGACCTACAATCGATCGAGAACAGTCACAAATGTGTCAGAACACGAGGTGTTTGACTATTCCTAGGTAGTCATAAAACTAACAACAATCTCTGGAAAGAATGAAAGCAAACAAGTCTTTTGGGAAGAATGAAAACAAACAAGTGATGGGGTTTTGAAAACAAAATGGTAGTTTACTACTACACTTTCTTTGCTATACATGGGACAACATGTGAATTGTGATTGCCTCCGTGGAAAGCAATGAAGTGGAGCTAGAAGTTTTTCCGGCATGCCAAGCCAATTATTTCCTAGCTAGGTTACGTTACTACTATGTGGCCAAGGAGGATTATAATCGCTTCGTGCATGAGGCCTCTGATCTTTTGATTGGCCTGTCGTATAGTATGAAGGCAAAGGAGACGTGGTTCGCAATGGGGAAGTTTGCAATCGTAATACTCTGGAACAGGGTCCATCTTGCATTGTGGTCCTAAATGACATAATTTTGAATTTTAATTTTAATGGTTACGGTTTGTTGTTTAATTCACGTTACAATTTTTTTTTTATTGTAAAGTATGTGTATGTGTTTGTGTTATGCGTTTATGTGTCTCATGTTATGCAATTATGTACATTAAGCGTATGGATTCTGTACCTCAAATAAAGTAATATGACATGCGCTTTTGTGTCTTGTACTATGTGTTTTTGTGTCATATGTTATGCGTTTTTGTGTCTTATGTTTTGGAATTCTGTACCATAAGAATGTTGATTATGTACCTCAACTAAAGTAAATATAAACATGTTTATATGTCTAGTGTTATGCGTTTATGTGTCTCTGTTATGCATTCATGTATCTTAAACGTATGGATTCTGTATTTGAAATAGATTAGTAGTTGTGTAACACACAAACATTTTTTTTTTGAAGAAAGTAACACATAACATATTGGAGTTAATTCCAGCAATGGTACTTCGACTATATTGATTTTCCAAAATTAGTCTCCGACTTTTAATTTGGACACTTTACATCCATTGGCTTTCAATTTCTTTTCAATTGAGGTCATTTTTCAGATTACGGTAAAGTGGACTTTAAATGAAAGGGTAAAGTAGTAATTTTATCTGCCTAATGTACAATTCTTCATATTTCTTCCTTGTATATGCGACTTCAGACATCAGATTCACTTAATTGCTTAATCCCTAATGGAATTTGTTCTTCGAGTGGATTTAGGGATTGAGCAATTAAGTGAATCTGATGTCCAATGTCGCGCATACAAGGGAGAAATACGAAGAATTATACATTAGGCAGATGAAATGACTACTTTACCCTTTCATTTAAAGTTTAATTTACCGTAATCTGACGAAAAGACCTCAATTGGAAAGAAATTGAAAGTCAATGGACGTAAAGTGTCCAAATTAAAAGTCGAGAACTAATTTTGGAAAATCAATATAATCGGAGGACCATTGCAGGAATTAACTCCAACATATTGTGTCTTATTTTACGAATTTATGTCTTGTATTATGAAATTATGTGTCTATTTTAGGACATATATTATGTACATAAATCAGATTTGAGAATAAGTAAATATATAACATATGTATGTGTCTTGTGATTGTGAGTTTTTGTGTCTGATGTAGCAAAAATAAGTGATAGTGAGCGTACGGGGTACAATGTCGTCCTTAGGGGATTGGGGGATATGGCATGCAATATGCAATCACAAGAAACTAGAAACTAGGTCACTAGCACAAGGAAATCAACAAGAAGCTAAGCAACAACAAGTTTAAGGAAATGGTAAGACTAACACATACACAAAGATAAACACAAAATAGAGAAATAGGTCTCAAGTTAGGGAGCATTATCTTCTAAATACTTCAACAACCTATGGGATTAGGGAGAACAAATAACCAAGGAATTAAGTGGAATGCACGTAGGTATCCTAGTCTACGAACCACTCTCGTGATTAATAAACAATTATTAGAACAAGGAATTGTCCACTCTCGTGATGTATCTATTCCAAGTCCATCAAGCACACAAAGCATCTAAAGCCCCCAATTTCTCCTATTGTCATATGAACAAATTGGGTCTATGCGAGGGTGACTCAAATCCTTGACCCAATTCTCATTGTAGTCAAGAATTCTCCAAATACATGCTAATGATTTTGTACATCAAACATTAACAAGATATAAACACAAAACTTTCACAAACACATGAATCCTAAGTTAGAGTTCTTTCCCTTTTGCAATAATCACAAATTAAGCATCAAGATAGACAATACAACCCTAGCTCAAGCACATAAACTAACTACTCATGATTCAATAGCATAAAGAACACAAAAACATAAGTAATAAACATAAACATTGCATAGGAAAAGAGATAAGGGAAAGAAAACTTCTCTAGTGAAATAGATGGATGGTAAATCTTGGAATCCAAGTGTTGAATCCTTTTTTGGAATCCAATTGTTGAATCCTTGATTACAAGCTTTTAAAATATTATAGAACCTAAATCTAGAGTAAAAGACATTTTTGGTCCTAGACTTATAGTGGCTTGGACAATTTTAGTCCTTTATAAAAAAATTTGCCATTTTATGGACAGAGTTATTGTGGCGAGGACATTTTTGGTCCTCCGTCTATATTTCTGTTAGATAATCGTATGAGAGAGGGGCAATTTTGTTCAATATGTTTCCTACAGTGGTGGAAGGCCAAACTGTTGACACAAATAATCAACAGAATGTGCAACCTACTACTGCAGTTCCTGAGAATAAGAGGAAGATTGTTGAGTCCAGATCTCCAGTGTGGGATCATTATGAAAAAATTAAGGATAGTACTGGTGTTACTATCAAAGGCAAGTGTATATATTATGCCAAAATATATCAATGTCAGTCTAAAAAGCATGGTACTACCTCCTTGAGAAACCACATGCTTAGCTGTCTGAAAAACCCCCACTCTAAAGACACTAGACAATCACTGTTAACCTTTCAAGCTATTACAAATTCTGATGCATCTCCTGCTACTGTTGGTGAGTTAGGAACTTGGGTCTTTAACCAGGAAGCTATTAGGAGGACCTTGGTTGAAATGATTATAATTGATGAACTGCCTTTTAGATTTGTGGAGGGTCCAAGGTTTAGGAAGTTCATTCTGGTGGCTTGTCCTAGGTTTAAGATTCCATCTAGATGGACAATTAGTAGGGACATCAATCTGATTTATGAAGAGGAAAGATTGAAGTTGAAATGTGTTTTTAGGGGGAACACTCAAAGAGTCAGTATTACAACTGACACTTGGACTTTTATTCAGAGAATTAACTACATGGTAGTGACTGCCCATTTTATAGATGAAGAGTGGAAGCTTAACAAGAAGATTATCTCATTTGTCCCTATTACATCACATAAGGGTGAGGCTGTAGCAAAAGTCCTTGAAACCTGTTTGCTTGATTGGGGGATTAGGAATGTGTATAGTATAACTGTAGACAATGCTTCATCTAATGACACTGCTATAGGTTTTTTAAAAAAGAAATTGATGTCTTGGGGAACATCTACTGTGAAGGGCAAGTATATTCACATGAGATGTATTGCCCATATTCTGAACCTTGTTGTCCAAGATGGCCTGAAACAATGTGATTCTTCTGTGAAGAGGGTAAGGGAGGCTGTAAGATATGTGAGGAGTTCACCTGCTAGACTTAAGAAATTTAGGGACTTGGCTGAGTACCTCCTAGTCCAGTCCTGGGCTTATGATACCGTATGGAGCCACTGTCGAAAGTGGAATGGGATTGAACAGAAATCATCTTTGTGTCTAGATGTTCCAACCAGATGGAACTCTACATATCTTATGTTACAATCTGCAATTACTTATGAGAAAGTGTTTGAGTCACTTGAAGAAAGTGATACTGCCTACAAATCAGATCTGTCTGATGCTGTTCCTACTTTTCTTGATTGGGAGTCTGTGAAGAGTTTGGTGGAGATCTTGAAATGTTTTTATGATATGACAATAAGAATTTATGGTTCTTTATATGTCACTTCTAACACTTTCTTTTCTGAAATTTCTGATTTATACTGCCTCTTGAATGGCATGGTTGAAGCGGGAGGGTCTGTGAAACTGATGGGAGAAAATATGAAGGCTAAATTTGAGAAATATTGGGGGGATATAGATAAAATGAACTTGATGATATTCTTTGCAAACATTCTAGACCCAAGAGACAAGTTAGAGTACATGGCAACACAGATGAATCACATGTATGGTGAGGAAAAAGGTAAACCATACTATGAGAAAGTGATTGCAGCCTTAAAAGAGTTGTTTAATGATTATGCTGTCTCTACTCCTGTCTCTACTCCTGTCAGTACTCCTACTGATTTTTCACAGTCTACAGTTGGGAGGCCCCAACATTTGTTAAAGTCACAGATTAAGAAACAAATATTGGAGAGTGGGGGAATGAAAAAAAAAAAAAAACAGAGTTAGAAATTTACCTTGCTGAGGCAATACTTGAAGAAGAAACCTCTTTTGACATACTTAGATGGTGGAAGTTGAATGCTGAAAGGTTTCCTATCCTTTCTAAGATAGCTAGGGATGTTTTAGCTATACCAATATCTACTGTTGCATCAGAATCTGCCTTCAGTACATCTGGTAGGGTTTTGGATCCTTTTAGGAGTTCATTAACTCCTAAAATTGTGGAAGCTTTGGTCTGTACGCAGGATTGGCTTAGGCTATCAAATACCCCATTATCAATTGAGGAAAATCTGGAGGAATTGGAGAGATTTGAACAAGGTAACACATTCTATTCTATTTTTTTTTAACAATTTGTTATTTCCTATTTTCCTTATAATTTTAACATTGTATTATAATTTTTTGTTGTTGCAGAAATTGGTACTGATGGTGGCAGTGGAACTGGAAGGAGTGGTGGTTCTACACTTGCTATAATTCCTGTAATGCTATGCTTTGTACTTTATACGTTATACTGATGTTTCTGTTTGAATGTATTCTGTAATACATTTATGCTGTTTGCCTGCAATTCATGACTCATGAGGCTTGCTTGCAGCTGGCTTGGTAACTAATTAAATTAGTTGCTGCCATTGTAAGTTGTTACATTGTTGGTAAGTTGGCACATTTTACAATTTTTTTATGTTTTATACTTTTATTATATTATGGCCATGATGAAAGCTTCCACCAATGATCTGAAAAATAAGGGATTAAGCTGGTATGTTGCTCCATCCTCATGGGGATGTTGTAGCAATTTCCCCTTAATCCTAACTTTGATATAGATAAAAAGCTTACTGAGCCAAGTTTATAAATTATAACTGTCTAATGATATTCTGTTGCTCAATAACTTATTTTTGCTATTTGGCATTTTGACTTATTGCTAACTTTGCTTAAGTTTTGAGTGTTTACAAGAAGATGAAGAATAATAGGAAGAGATTAGGAACTCTAGGAAGACTAGGAAGTAGGAACTTGGAATATTCAGTACTTTTTTAGCATGTAATTGCAAATTGCAAGGATACTTTTTTTGACTTAAGTGCATATTCAGTACTATTTTTGCATGTAATTGCAGTTAGAGTAATATGTAATTGCATGTATGTGATATTAACTTTTTATATTTACAGTGTTTTGTTCAATTTTGTAGTTATTTCCTTTATTTCATTATTATCAAACTATCCGAAATTGATTCGGATATCCGACTGAACCGACCCCAACCGAAGTTCAGTCAAACCGAATAGATTTCTTAGATTAAAAAACGAAATAGGATTTACATAATGATATCCGAAATCCGAAAGGGTTGCCCATCCGCCCACCCGAACCGACCCGATCCGACCGATGCACCCCCCTGTTTGCCTTGGCCACCATGATCCGATCTTATCATGGTGAAGCACCTCCACGATCTCCGGTGGGGGGTCCTCCAAGAGGCGACACCCATTTTGGTGGAGATCGCCATTGCAACCAACTTGTCTGCCAGACGGTTCTATTCTATGTAGATGTGCGTAAACAACACCTCGCTAAAGTTCGCAGCTTCTCTTGCGCAAAGCCGGATGACATTATGTCTTCGATCCTGCCCCTCAATTCTCCTGCTCAAGCTTCCCACAATAGTTTTGGAGTCACACTCGAGAATAACCCTTGTTGCACCATAATCTCTTGCCATGCGTAACCCCTAAAGAACAACCCAGGCTTCGGCTTCATCTACCGTGCACCTGCCAATGCGATATGTGAACCCTCGATGCCATGCCCCATGCATATCTCGTAAGATGTTGCCGCATCCTGCCGCTCCAGATCCTTTGACGCAGTCATCAACGTTTAGCTTTAGCCACCCTTCTGCCGGCTTCGTCCAAACGACTTGCACAGCACCACGCGTCGTGCTTCTTCTCAAAGTTCCTTGCCTCGCCGCAAACGCCGCCCTCACCTCAGTGTCATAACTTCTCAGCCAGTCCATCTTTTGTTCGAGTGTCAAGGAGCGATTGTTAAATACCTCGTCATTTCGCCAGCGCCACATCCACCATAGTCTGATCCCAAACTGCTCCGGCCACCCTTCATCGAAGCCCTTCCTCGCGTCTTCGTGAATATTCACCGCGAACCAGACTTTCCAGCTTAAGTGACAGATGACCTCTCTCGTCTGCCAGTGTAACGACGATGTCCAGATGTGTCACGCTACCGCACAATCCCTAAACAGGTATATATATACACACACACAATAGCTTCGAATGAATAACACATTGATGTGTCGAAAGAAATTAAAGATTTTGACATATTTAGCTCATTCACTTTTATTGATTACCAATCATAAATAAATTTAATGTAAATAGACATCTTTTTCCTAACTCTTACAATAAATTGACGATTATATCTTAATACTTATTGATTACCACACTAGCATATGACCCCCATAATTCTCGTAGTGATCAAGCTATTTGATTTCTTCTCTATATATATCAACTTGATTTCATGCCAGAATATCTGCTATTTACATTGATATGATAATTGCCCAATCATGTAATCTATATACAACGTCAATGAAAGTACAATTTTATATTTTATAAAATCAAAAAAATATCGTCATATATACATGTTATTTATATAGAAATACATGCCTACAGGTAGACAAGAGAACATGAGATATTGATAATAAAGATTAATCATTATTTATGTAAATTTCATTTTGTAAATTTATACGAAGGGGTGTTTGCATGAACAATGCATAACCAATAGAACTTAGAAATGGAATTTAGTAATGTATATCCCATTAAATAAATAAGCACACACATGCACATTAAAGCATTAATTTATAATACTTAGCTCTAGATTATATGATTTGGCTGCAGAATTGTTTGGGGAGGTGGAGACTACCGGCCTCGACGACTAAACGCCGACAACGATAGGCCTTGGAGTGCAAATGCATGTCCTTGAATGTGAACGCATGCCCTATTTTATTATCGTGACGATATACCATTTTCACTTTATATTGTTGGAGAAATTAGGCTGATAATATGAAAATAAGGAATGTTGTGTCATGGTACAACCACTACCATAGAAGCGAATTTTCTGTTAACTCACAACAATTGCATTGCCCCCGAAAGTTAACACAACAATCCTGTCTCTGTGCACCTTAGGGGTGGGAATAGGCCAGGCCCCTACATAGGGGCCTATGTGTGATACCTGATCTTTGTGGTGTATTGAAGTCAAGTTTGAGTCTCTTCAGTTCCCTATTGGTCAAGTCTCTGTTATTCCTTGTTGCCTTATGGTTATGCTTCGGGGACGAAACATATTTTAAGGGGGTAAGATTGTAATACCCGGTATTTTCCTATGGTTATGCTTCGGGGACGAAGCATCTTTTAAGGAGGGTAGATTGTAATACCCAGTTATTTTATACGTATTATTTTGACATAGATATTATTTTAACCAAAACTATATTATTTTATGAGATCCAAAACTATTTGAAACTAGTCTACTACTATGTATTATTTTGTGATTATTACTAATTCTTAAGATCATATTACTAATATGGTATAACAACTAATATAAATCCTAAAACTGGAGTTATTAAGTCGTAATGCAAGTTTATATGTTAGATAAACTTAAAGTTTTAGTGTATATATATATGTTAGCTCCGTATAGCTGAAGTCTTAATATATATGCATGTTACATATTTTAGTTCGTATATAACTTAATATCTATATTATTACTAAACTTTATTATATTAAGCTTTTAAGTATTTTAGTTCTCTACAACTAGAATTATTATTTATAATATATGCTATTAGTTAAGTATTTAAGTAGAAGTCTAATTGTTCCCATCCTCATCAGTAGCTGATTCATTAAATCCTCCCCTTCATCATAATCATTAACCGATACTCTCATCGTTTTCCTTTTTCCCAATATCACCGAACACAAAATTAAAGAGAAAAATATACATAGCTGTCTTCTTTTGTCATCGCTGGTGGCTTTGTTATCGGTCTTCTTCTGTTATCATCTGGCTCTGTTCATTGTAGGATTTCATTCAAAGATTTTGTTGATTCTGGTTCGAGGTAAGATTTATGTTCACTAAAATCCTTTTACCCCAAATCAAAAATTAATTTTTCTAATTGTTTATGTGATTCGTGATTTTGAAAAATTGATGATATTTAGTGTTGTAAGTTATTTGATTATATTATGTGTGTAGATATATGAGTTTAGAGGTTTTGAAAACCCTACATATGTGATATGGAGATTTTGTGGTGATTAAAAAGGAAAAATTTTACTCAACTTGATCATTGCCTGAGAAAATTCTAACTGGCGCAGCTGGAAAGAAAAATTCGTGAAAATTGCTTCCTCAACTTCTTTTTGCTTGAAAATTTTTATGGATAACCTAGACTTGTTATATTTGATGTTTGTAAAAGTTTTTAGTTAAAAATATGTTTCGGAATTTCTAGAATATTTCGTGGAGTGGAGGCGGTGTGCTGCCAGTTCAATTTCTGTTTGGCGCAATGTTGGGAAGTAATTCGGGAAAAATACTTTTAGACCTTGGATTGGCTTGAAACTTTTTGTGTGTAGTCTAGACTCTTTGTACTACTTATCTGGAAAATTTCATATGAAAATATGTTACCGATTTTTCTCAGTAGATTCGGCAATTCAGGTCATAGTTTCTGAAAATTTTTGTCAGCTTCTTATTAAAGATATTGAGAAGTTGCTTGGTTGTGAAATATTTGGTATAAAAACTTACATTTAATTAACTTTGGTCATGGAGGATTTGTACTTGGATTTTTATTGTGAGGTTGGTCTCTCACTTTTGGTTATGGATCTTGTGGGGTTGGTCTCTTACATTTGATTCTGGATTATTATTATATACCTTGTGGGGTTGGTCTCTCACAATCGAGTTCGTTCTACCCATTGGGGTTGGTCTCTCAATGGGGGTATGCATACTTAAGGGATTGATCTCGTGCCAACTGGGTTGGTCTCTGGTTGGTTGGTTTTGGTCACTGGGGCCGAAGTAATGGTCCTTGCCTTGTATTTCTCCTCCTCATTGACTTGGTGGTTAATAAAGGATTAAATCCTAATGTTGAGAAAAGTGGTAAAATGTGGAAGTTGTGGAATTTTATGTGAAACTATAAATTATATTTCTTATGTGGTTGATTTGTTAATGGGTAATTAAATGTGAAGAAGTGGTATTAGGGAATGTTGCAAGTATAATATGATTAAGGGGTTAATGTGGAATTGTGTGCCCCAAGGTGTTACGTGTTATGTGAAAAATGTTTTACAGGGTGGAGTAAGTCTTACCAGTTGTTGTATACTGAATTTGTTCCCCCTTTAGTTATTTTGCAGGTAATGTGGCACGAGTATCTGGAGCATGAGAGCGATTCATCTTTTAGAACTTTGAAGTTTTATATTATTTTAGAAAAATCTAGAAGTGAATTCTTAGACAATTGTACTCAATGCATTGTAATAAAACAAATTATGGGTTGCTTTTAGTAGTGTTGTTTTTAGCCTGTGCGTTTGGATATAGGTTGTTATCTAAACGTGGCGGTAGCATCCCTTTTTCCTTTTGTTTTGTTTAGCTTCCGCAACTAAAAATGGTTTTAAATAAAATAAATTCATTTTTATAAGTTATTTTGGTTAATGGAAAATGGGGGTGTTACACTATGGCCTGGCCTATTTAAGGCCTGGCTTGGCCTAGCCTATTTAGTAAAAAGGCCCGGCCTAGGCCTATTTAAAAGCCTATTTAGTTAATAATAAATAGCCCCAGGCCTATATGTAAAAGCCTGGCCTATGAGCCTGCAGGCCTAGCCTGTTTATATATATAATATATATATTTACAATCGTTATACCCTACACCACGGCGCACATAGCACTGTGCGCCGCGCGCTTCCCAAAACGACGTCGTTTTGGGAGGCGCAGTAGAAAGTTGCTAGGATTATGTGTATTTGTTCACAAAGTTATGTGTATTTGTTCATACAGTTATGTGTATTGGTTCATACAGTTATGTACATTTTTTATACAATTATGTACATTCTTTTTATACAATTATGTACATTCGAATCAGAAAATTTGTGTGTATTATGTTAAGAGTTGATGTGTATTATGTTAAAAGTTTATGTTTATTATGTATTATGTTAGATTATGTGTATTATCTTTTAAAAAGAATATGTATATTTTGTTATATAATTATGTACATTCATGTATAGAATTATGTGTATTCTAGTATAACATTATGTACATTCTTGAACAGCGGGTTTTTTTTTTTAAAGAAAAAACTACTGCCATTCACTGGGGCGAGAAATTTCAAAAAAAAAAAAAAAATTAAAACGACGTCGTTTTGCATCTGGACGCATAGTGCAACGCGCGTCGTGGTGTAGGATATAAATTGCCATATATTTATTATTTAATTATTATATATTACATATTTACATTTTATAACTAATATTTTTAAAAATTTATAATATAACCTACTATATATATAACCTAATTCAAACTCATAACCCTAGTCCAGTAAGTCATCCGACTCATCCCCAATCGGCCAATCCATCGAGACATAGACCAGTGTGCGAAACGGTGACCTTGCAACGGCGAAGCGGCTGGAAATGTGAGTATCACGTTCTAGGAACACCAATATCAACTTCTTCCCTACACCCATTTTGCCGTTTCTCCGGTCCCAAGCGGTTGACTTCTTCTTCTTCCCAGATGGATTCTAGTGCCCTTCTTGACTATGCTATGTTGAAGCTCATTCCAACCAGGACAAGGTGAGTCTTCTTCACTTCTTCTGATCTATGTGTGTGAGTATTTGTAGTATAACTGACAAAAGTTATGGTTTTTGGCATTTTAGAAAATGATAAGGATGCAATCTTGTGGTAATCTAAGATTCGGTTGAATATGCCAAGAGTAATGCAAAACAATGATGCTGTCTTCCGTACACAAGAGACTTTAGAAGAAGGTAGACATATGGAATCCATTTTGTTTTGTTTCCCTTGTACAGTTATTGTAATCTAGAAATCAACTTGCTGATGCCCTTGATTCACAACTTAGCTTTACTACTCAACTCAGTTACTGCTATATTTATCATCTCCTCACTCATTTATTTGTCTTGACTGTAGGGTGTTAGTTTATTGACAAGGCAGTTTCCATGATGTGAAGCTGAAGGATCGAACTTTGATCTGGTAAACTTTTTTAAGCCACATTACTCTTGCCCGCATGCTTTCTTTGATCATTTTTATTTTTATTTTTCTAACTTTTGTTTGTATTATGTATTCTCAGGAACTCGGACCTTATAGAAACTATTGAGTTGGAAACCTGTTGATTAATGCATGCATTACCAATGCACTCTGCTGAAGCCAGAAAAGAAAGCAGAGGTGCACATGCCGTGAAGATTTTACGGTTAGTTCTTGTCTATTGCCTTTAGGGGTTTCCTTTTCATCTCATTATGATTAGTAATATGAGCATCTCCTTTGGCTTTGCAGAAAAGAGATGATGAGAAATGGATGAAACATACATTGGGGTTAGCATATCATAGCTACATGGATAGTTGGTGCCTATGATACATGCAAGCATGAAATGTGCAGAAACTTTTAGTTTACTTTTGTATCTTTTTTAGAAAGGGAAATTTTTTTAAAAATATGTTCTTGTTTTTCAATATTATTCAGTTAATAATCAAATCATTTGTATTGCTCTATTTCTCTATTATGTTATGGGATTTTGGTTTAGTTTATCTCCATAAACTCATAATAATATGAGTATTGTTATATTGCATTACAATCCCTTTTTTATACACAAGAAAATGTGAGGTTCCTGTAGAGAGAATGAGGGATTTTTAAATTTTGTTTTCAGTTCATTTTATTAGGACTCTATTATTATTAGTATTCGTTACCTATTGTTACTAGTATTAGTCTTGTATTAGGTTTGCTATTCGCTACTATATATATTCCTGTACAGACTTATTATTTGATTCATTCAGAAATATTATATCCTCATCTGGTATCAGCAGGTTCCTTTTCTCTCTCTATGGCGCACCTCGGTTCTGATGGCGGTTCTGTTGGAAGTTCTGAATGTCCTCGACGGTTCCTTATAATGGTCCGGATCATCTTCGTGTTGGTGACGGTAAGTGTTTACCTATTGTTAGTACTGGTTCATCTTCGTTAGCCGCATCTAAAACACTGTTTCGATTGTCTGATGTTCTTCATGTTCCTGGGCTTTCTGCGTTTTTATTGTCTGTGCAACGGTTTGCTCGTGATAATAATGTCTTTTTTGAGTTTCACCCTGATTGTTTCTTTGTGAAGGATCGTTCAACCAGGGAAGTTCTATATAAAGGGCCGGCTTCGGGGGGTCTCTATTCTTGGCCTGTCTCTCGTTCAAGTCCCGCTGCGTTTGTGGCCTCTCGAGTCTCCTCTGACGTGTGGCATAGCCGGTTGGGTTATCCTCACCCGCGTGTCCTGCGGCAGATTTTAAATTCATGTTCTATTCAGTCTAGTTTTAGTGATACTTCGGAATTGTGCCGTGCTTGTATGCTTGGGAAATCCTCACGGTTTCCCTTGCCTCGTGTCAATACTACTACGTCTCATGTTTTAGAACTTATATATACTGATATTTGGGGCCCAGCGCCTTTTCTTTCCGTCAATGGCTTTCGTTATTTTGTTTTGTTTGTTGATGACTATACGCGCTATGTATGGTTTTATCCTATGCGTTTGAAAACTGATGTGTATGCTATCTTCGAGCAGTTTCGGTCACTAGTTGAGCGTTCATATGGTCATAAGATTGTCTCTATTCAATCTGATTTAGGGGGAGAGTATAAACGGTTGCACCGTACTTTTGTCTCTTTGGGTATTAATCATAAGCAGTCTTGTGCCTATACCCATGAGCAGAATGGTAGAGTTGAGCGTCGGCATCGTCACGTTGTGGAAACGGGTTTGGCTCTCTTGGCCCAGGCTTCGGTTCCACAACGATATTGGGATTATGCCTTTGAGACTGCGGTCTATCTCATCAATAAGATGCCGACTCGGGTTTTGGATAATGATAGTCCTCATTCTCGGTTGCATCGTTCTAGTCCTTCTTACTCTTTCTTGCGTGTGTTTGGTTGTCTCTGTTATCCTCTGTTACGCCCGTATAATCGTAACAAGTTGCAGTATCGGTCTTCTCCGTGTGTGTTTCTTGGTTATCCGTCTTCGTTTCGTCGCTATCGTTGTTTTGATCCTGCTACTAACAAGGTATTCATTTGCCGTCATGTGCGGTTTGATGAAACCATATTTCCATTTGCTTCTTCTGTCCCCTCTCAGGTCTCTAGCTCTCGCCCGATTGAGCCGTGGGGTGTTGGCGCCGTTCAGGTTGGCGCGAGCTCAGGTGTTTGTTCTGCTGGGCCGGGTCCTCGTCCGGAGATGGACACGGATTCCGGGGCTGCTGGTGCTGCTTCTGATTCCCGCACCGTGACTGCCGTGGCTCCAGATGTGGTAGTCTCGGGTGCTCCTAAGGCGCCCAAGCGAGGTCGGCGCACGATAAAACCAGTTCCACCTCGGTCTCATGTTATGGCGACTCGTTCTTTGGGGCCGACGCAGCATGTGGCTCTTATGACAGTTTCTGAGCCGACCTGTTATTCTCAGGCAGTTCGGTATCCGGAATGGCGTGAGGCCATGGATCTTGAGTTTAATGCCTTGCTTCAGAATCACACTTGGCGTCTGGTTAGTCGCACACCTGGTATGAATGTTGTAGGCTGCAAATGGGTGTTCAGGACGAAGCGCAAGGCTGATGGCACGATTGAGCGGCACAAGGCTCGGTTGGTGACTAAGGGGTTCAATCAAGTCGCAGGACAGGACTTTTTTGAGACCTTCAGTCCTGTTGTAAAACCCACAACCGTGCGGCTTCTTCTCTCCTTGGCTGTCTCTCGCGGTTGGGTAATTCGGCAATTGGATGTTCACAACGCCTTTCTGAATGGTAATCTTGCAGAGACAGTCTACATGCGACAGCCGCCTGGCTATGAGGACTCGTCACGACCGGATGATGTATGCTTATTACAGAGGTCACTCTATGGCCTTAAGCAGGCTCCTCGCGCATGGTTTAATAGGTTACATGCTTTCTTGGTGTCGGGTGGTTTTTCACCTTCAAAGACTGATGTCTCTTTATTCATATACACTCGTGACTCTGTATCTTTATATGTGCTTGTTTATGTGGATGATATCCTTGTTATGGTATCTGATGCTTCGCGTGTTACTCGGCTTCTGACTGACTTAGCCTCGGAGTTCAAGATTCGTGACATGGGTGCTCCGTCTTTTTTTCTGGGCATTGAGACAGTCTCTCTTGGTGATGGTTTGTTTCTTTCTCAGCAGCGATACATGCGAGATATCTTGAGCCGTGCAGGTATGGTGGACTGCAAGCCGTTGGCTACTCCGGTGCCTGTGACTCGACCCGTTTCTGAATCTGTGGTTCCTTATGTCGATCCCACGCAGTATCGCAGTCTTGTTGGGGCTCTGCAGTATCTTACTGTCACTCGCCCGGATTTATCTTTTGCTGTGAATCGGGTCTGTCAGCATTGCACTCCCCGACTACTGAGCATTGGGCAATGCTCAAACATGTTCTGCGGTACGTTAAAGGCACTTTGCATTTTGGTCTGTTTATTCGCCCATCCTCCTCTGTTGCAGTGCATGCTTTTTCAGATTCGGACTGGGCTGGGGACCCCGCTGACAGAAAGTCTACTAGCGGCTTTGCGGTTTTTCTTGGTGACAATCTGATCTCTTGGTCTTGCCGGAAGCAACGTACGGTTGCTCGTTCATCTACAGAGGCCGAGTACAAGGCACTAGCTGACGTGTCTGCTGAGGTCACCTAGTTGGTTTCTCTATTGCATGAACTTCGGTTGCCGTTGGCAGCTCCTCCCACTCTCTGGTGTGATAATCTGGGTGCAACTTATCTCTGTTCCTACCCGGTGTTCCATGCTCGTACGAAACATGTGGAAATTGACTATCACTTTGTTCGTGACAAAGTGGCAAAGAAAGAGTTGCAGGTTAGCTTCATTTCTACTAAGGATCAGCTGGCTGACGTGTTCACTAAAGCTCTCCCTGGTCCGCGTTTCTCTACTCTGTGTGGCAAGCTCAATGTTGTAGCTAGTCCACCTTGTGCTTGAGGGGGAGTATTAGGACTCTATTATTATTAGTATTCGTTACCTATTGTTACTAGTATTAGTCTTGTATTAGGTTTGTTATTCGCTACTATATATATTCCTGTACAGACTTATTATTTGATTCATTCAGAAATATTATATCCTCATCCATTTTTTATTATATTCATGAAATCACATTCCTCTCATATTCTTAGAATATGTTAGATTTTCGGAAATGTTAAATTACTTTAAATCATCCCTTGAATGCCTATAGAAATATTAAAAGGCTTTAAAATGTAGGCCTTAAATAGGCTCAAAGCCTATTTAGGACCTACTTTGAAGCCTTTTTAAAAGCCTATTTATTATATAGGCTTTTAAAAAGGCTTCAGGGCAGGCCAGGCCAACTGCAGGTTCAGGCTTGAGTCTAAAAAAAAGCCTACCTGCAGGCCCAGGCCTAATTTTTTAAAGCTTGGCTCGGTCTGACCTATTTCCACCCCTAGTGCACCTGGTGCAAGGATTTAAACTTACACATCATACTTAGAATAATAATGGGACAAGAACAAACCCAGACAATCTCTGTCTGATGTCTAAAACTCCAGGAATAACTTTGTTTAAATAGTATAAGCAAAATAATTAATGTCATAACTCTGTTTAAATAGTATGGACAAAATAATTAATGTCATATATTATTTAACAGATCTTGAACACTCATCACCTTGTGCTCCTGCTGAATAACAGATGTTGACTAAAACATCCAGGAATTTTTAGAACAAAAAAAAAAAAAAAAAAAAAAAAACTCTTTGACTTGCATTTTCCCAACAGTTCGGAATCTTTTTGCTTTCCCATTGTAATTTTCAATCAATTTTTCTCAATGCTTATTAGAATCTATTATCGTGTTGATATCACTAGTGGGTGGTAAGTTTGAGTGGGTTTTAAAACAAATTAAACCCGTGATGGATCTGATTGAATTCAAGTTTTATATACAAAACCTGCCTAGAATCCCACTGTTACGTACTGAAATTTAGTACGCAACGGAAGAAACCTTTCGAGCAGGCTTCTGGCTCCAATCCGTATTCGAGTTACGGTAACTCCAAAAGAAAACAATATAACGGAAGAAAATGAAGAACTCTTCAATATAAAAGACTGGAATAACAATATATTTCTCTTCTTCTCCATCTTCATATACAATGGTCTATTTATACTAATCTACTAATACCTATAATAATTAACCTACTAAAATTATACTAACTATACAAGGTAATGATATATTGTGATTTACATAATTTTCCTATACTAATTTAGGCACAATATTAACTCTCCCACTAATTAAGTTGTACCATCATAATTATCATCCTAATTCTAGAAATATAATTAATTCTTCCTAATTAAGCTCCATAATTACAATTAAGGGCGTATCA